CATATAGAAATGTGAAGGAGGGTCTAACCTGTTCATCTTAAAAGAGAACTATGAGGGGGGGGGGTCTTTTCACTCACCTCATAGTTCTAGCCGACCTGTGACAATGAGACTGTCACGGGTCGGCTCAGTAGATCGGGAGGTGAGAGAACACATACCGGCGTTCGCTCACCTCTCGATCCTGTCACGGCTCTCTGCAGTGACAGGGGAGGGGCTGGATTCCCCCCTCCCCGCTCCGATCCTCCAGCGCTGACTGGTGGAACGGACGGGGGAGGGGGCGGGTACAGCTGGCTCTGCCTCTAGATAGGCAGAGCCAGCTGTCAGTCACGCAGCTGGGCGGATCCCGGCACAATTGTCGGGATCCGCTTCAGCTGCAGCGTCTCAGTATACAGTGAGCTGTAGCTCGCTGTATACTGAGCCTAGGGTGACGGGAGGACGCTAGTTTGTGTCCTCCCGTTACCCTAAGGAGAACTATGGGGAAAAGCCTTAACCCCATAGTTCTCCTTTAAGCAAAACAAACTTCCCGTACTGGTTTCTTTATTCCAATTGTCTTCTCATTTATCAATAATTTACCTTTGAATTTTAGTTTGCAGTCAGCTGCCATTTGGTATGAGAACTGTAAAGTGAATCTGTACTTTGTCTATGCAAGACAAACAAACAGGTTAATGTAATAACTTACCCCATCCCGTGGCTTACGCTTGCCCACCTCCCTGTAAAGTTGGTCTGGTCAAAGCTTGCACAAGCTTACAGACCTTCCCTCACCCTCATGTGGCTGCTCTCTGACGTGCTTATTGCCACATAGTGTTGCATCCTGGGAGGAAGAAAAGAAGATCATGTGGTCACCCACACCCAGTAGTATTAAAAGAGAACTATGGGGTAAGTGTTTTTCCCCATAGTTCTCTTAAGGGTCACGGGAGGACCTACTAGGATTTACAGTACTAACCTCCTCCCGTGACCCAAAGCTCAGTATATAGGGAGCTACAGCTCACGGTATCCTGAGACCGCCACAGCCGGGACGGATCCCGACAATGCTGTCGAAATCCACCCAGCTGCGTGAGTGACAGCGGGCTCTGCCTATAGAGGCAGAGCCAGCTGTACCCGCCCCCTCCCCCGTCCGTTCCTCCAGTCAGCGCTGGAGGATCGGAGAGGGGAATCCCTGCAGAGGGTCGTGACTGACAGTCACCGCTCTCTGCAGGGACATGATCGGGAAGTGAGCGAGCGCCGGTATGTGTTCGCTCACTTCCCGATCTATTGAGCCGACGTGTGACAGTTTCATTGTCGCACATCGGCTCGAACTATGAGGCTGAGTGATTTTCACTCCCCTCATAGTTCTCCCATAAGGTTGCACTGATGGATGTACTAAAATAACATAAATAAGGGGCAGGGCATGGCATTCTCAGGTCTCGTGCACCCTGACCTGCTTTCGAGAGACCTGCATTTAACGTAATTAAGATGTGAGCCACACATACATTTTTGTTCTTTAAACACTACAGGTTGCATAAATAGGTAGACATCAGTTGTGTCTCACCATGCATTAAAGCCAGCAAGCTTTGAATATATGGTGAGGATATCTCCCCTTTCACCCAAATGAACATGAGTATACCCACCACAGTGTGTACATAGCTCAACATAATGTAAGGACTAGGGTTGCACAGATACCAAGTCCAGCCATGGTTGGTGGGGGGGCCCAGCATTGAACTTTAAAGCATATGTTACACACATTCATGTGTAGTTGGCACCCCCCAGGCACTTTTTGATATCTTGCAGATCTTGTTCAGTTGGGGAAACACAAACCAGCTCCTGTGGTCAGTGACTACGGCCTGCCCCTCTTATGCCTTCCTGTTGGCCTATCATTATGAGTACTGATCACTAGAGATTAGGGTTGCACAGCTACCAAGTACAGTACTCGGTACAGGTACAAGTCGATGTGCCGATACATTTGAGCTCCAAGACTAGACTAGAGAAAAATTCAAAAGTTAGGAGGCCGCTGTCATTTGTAAGGAGCACACGGAGCTCCTGGGATTTGTACATCTCTGTTTTAATGTACGATTTAGTTTTTATAAATATAAATAAATTGATGCACAGATACCAGTTTTGCGAGTACAAGTACTGATACTTTTTTGTTTATTGTCATGTGACGGTTTTTCTAAAACAATACAGACTAATGATTTCAGGACAGTGGTGGAGCGCCAGAGCCCGGTCCCAGCTGCAACCGCTGCCACCCTGGGAGTTCTCATGAAAATGCCAAGTATCTGCACTGGTACTCGAAAAGTATCTGTGCATCCCTAGTAAGGATGCCAGTTCATACATCCAGCTCATTTTTAAATTAGACCTCTGGTTCTCCTTTTAAGTATTTCGAGCGAATGGGACGGCAGGAGGACCAAGCGGAATGCAAGTGATGTATTGGCTATTAAATCACAATAAACACACCGATTTCATAAACCTATCCTAACTATTTACAATAACTCGTTACCATTCATGTGCGTCAAGGAAATAGCTTCATTAATGGTTGTATATAATGTCTGCTTCTCTGAAATATACACATTTCTAAAGAACTCACTTGAAGTAAGGATCGATTAAGAGTCAATTACCCCAATGACACTTCTAAACTGATCCCTATCTCGATAGCCTAACCCTTTACTACAGCATGGACCACTCAAGTGTTTCAAGAAAAAAAAAAAAAAAAAACCCATCTCATTGCTCCTCCTTGTAACTCTGTGTATACATATATGAGGGTTTCATCACCACTACTAGAAATGTATAAAGTCTAAATAAGGGATACAAGCTATCCTTAAAGTTTGCATCTTTAATTGAGGCAATAAATGGTATCAACTAAATGTGGTGAGGTCTGAAGAGAGGGATAAGTGATGTACTCACCTAGGTGGGCAGATCATTCGCTTTTAGGACGGCCGTGCGATGGAATGAAGCAGTTGCGGGAGGCGGTCCCTCTTAGGATGGGTGATGTGGTGGTCCAACCAGATAGAGCAGAGGTAAACACAAATAAAGCAAGGTGAGATGAGGTGGGTGAGCAAGAAAAGGAGGAGATTCTGTAACTCACCGCCAGGAAAGTGAAGGCTGGCTCTCAACGACGGTGATGGGCTCCTGTAATGCCTGGGTACAGGGCTGTGGGATGATCCTCTAAATGTGTGCTGGAGTGGCTGTCTTGCTGGATAGCGGCAGTCTCCGACGTTGGGGAGAGACGCGGTGCTGGAGGGTGGGTAGCGCGGCTGCTGGGGTGTTCCGACGTCCCTTGGTGTTGTCACCTGCCTGCTCGAAGGGAGGGTCCGGAGGGGAGGCGGAGGTGGATGCACGCTGGGGCCTCCTAACGGTCCGGCGTGTATGTGTCCAGAGGCTGGTCATGTGTCCACCTCTGGTCATGACTGTCGCAGTTTTCATTGTGGGGTACAGATATCTCCCCCAATTCTTCAAGGCTCACAATATTGTGTGTATTCAGCAGCCTGTGTCTGCTTAGTCTGCTCCCGGGCACATTTCCTGCTTCATCTCTCACATTATTTACGATGGCGATTGGGCCATTTCAGGCCCTCCTAATTACACACAACATTTGAGGGCGAAATGTGTACTCTCGAAACACATTGGATGTTTTATATCGTCTTATTCTGAAAAAAAAGTAGAAGACAAGAATCGCCAGCACTCAGTAATATCATTCAATATGTCCATTTATTTGGACACATCGTCACAATGAAAATGGCTTTTTTTTCTCATTTTGACGATATTTGTCCAAATAAATGGACATATTGAATGATATTACTGAGTGCTGGTGATTCTTGTCTTCTACCTTGTGTCTGCACGGCGCCATCCGTGGTCATCCCTGCGAGCACCATTGTTGTACAGGCCGGGAGCGTTGTGAGGAGTGCGGAGGGACTTTCTATCTATCTACATCTTATTGTGAACAAACACTATTACGAAAAGACTTCGGACTTTGATACTTTGTGCTGGTGCTCCCATTGGACGTTTTCACTCAAATGGTTGGTCATAGCTGATCCACGTGTGCAGCACCAAGGCAACTGCAGAACTACACTAAATAGAGGCTAAGATAACATGGCAGCGGATGGGAGGGTTTAATGTTGCATCCTGCGCTCCCTTTATAGCAGGGGTAGCCAAACTCAGCCCCGCCAGCTGTGGTGGAACTACAAATCCCATGAGGCTTTGCAAGATTCTCACAGCCACAGACATCATTCCCCCGGAGAGAGATGCATCATGGGATTTGTAGCTTCACCACAGGCTGGAGGGACGGAGCTTGGCTACCCCTGCTTTATTGCTACCTCCCTTACAAATAAAGAAAATAATAAAGTCACCGGCACTCCAAATGGTCAAGTCAATAAGTTTATTGACCCAAGTGATAAGACCTCTAGCAACGTTTCCGGACCATGCGGCTCCTTCGTCAGGCAAACAAAGGAAGGGCCCCTTCCTCAGGCAAACAGAGACTCTCTGTTTGCCTGAGGAAGGGGCCGCATGGTCCGGAAACATTGCTAGAGGTGTTATCACTTGGGTCAATAAACTTATTGACTTGACCATTTGGAGTGCCGGTGACTTTATTATTTTTTGTACGTTTTGGCGTATGCATCCGTTGTTGTTGCTGCTGCCCCCGCCCTGATACATTGGGCAGTCTCCGGTCAGGAGTGTGATGGGATATATATGGACTTTTGATTCCCTTACAAATAAGAGTCCTTTTTTTTTTTTGCTTGTGTCATTGGTTAGTTTTTATCAGTAGTTGTTCTCTTATTACAGCACTGGTGATGTGATTATAGCAGGCAGACACTTCATTCAAAGTCAGTGCAATGATCTGTCTCAGTCCCTAAAGGGCAAAAAACGTACCAATCTGCAGTGAAGTATGTTACAAATCATGCCATGTATACAACTGACCTGGAAAGTATTTTTTCTTTCTCGCTCAATGAAAAAGTAAAAGATCTTCACTTATAAGTTGTATTTCTCAGAGACTTCATCGCATCCTCCATAACCAGTGTCTTCTATTTTCTCCACAGCCCCTCCTATCTCCATCGCAGTGATCGCTGCCGATACGCCGGCTCCATTCAGCAGGTACCAAGCCCAGAATTTCACCCTGGTGTGCATTGCGTGCGGAGGAAAGCCAGCTCCACAGGTCAGTGTTAACAATTTATGGTTTTCTTCCTGGAGACGAATGATCTCTGACAGTATGAGGTGTCATCAGAATGGGTGACCTTCTGACAATTGGGGAGCTTCAGGTCTAGTGTAAATGTATCTGGAATTCAGTTCACATCCCAGGTTTATAAACTGCGATGTGGCTTATTTAAAAAAAGAAAGCGAGGAGTAATGCGGATGTGCAAAATGCCTGAAGATCTCAACCGCTCAAAAGGCAATACAGTTATTCTGACCCCCCAATGAACTGACATCTGATCTTCTGCTTCGTTTCGCATATCAACATTGCTTTCTCCATTTCACTCTTAGCATAACGGTGGCCATACAAGGCTCAAATTTCGAGAGATTCCAGTTGGCTCAACAAACTTCCATTGGAAAATCAAAGGAGACGGGCAGACAATTGTTGGCTCAACAATGACTTCAGCCAACAGTGACTGCAGTGGCCATGCTCCTGTGACTGCTGGAACCTGATAATCTAGAGCCTTGGTTCTCAACTGGTGGGTCGGGATCCAAAAGTGGGTTGCTACCCCATGTTCAGTGGGTGGCCACATGCCTTCTGCTTTTCTAGGTGAGAGGCTCCCTAGCCTCCCCCTAGCCCAGCACTGTCCATTCTTACACTGAGCAGCCATTCAATATGCCGAGTGTTGACTTGAGGTGGGATGGGCTGGGGGTATGGCCGTGAGGGAGCTCCATCCATGCGTGTAATGCTTATAGCTCCCTTGCATGTCCTGTACAGGTGCCTGGACCGGAGTGATGTCACATTATGGCTCACGACACCTCTACAGGGCCCACAAGGGAGCTGTACAAGCAATGCACATATGGATGGAGCTCCGTCACAGCACAGCAGCCCCCAATGCCGTGCGTTCTATTGCAGTTCGACTTGGGTCGCGACTTAATGATCGAGGACAAATGTGGGTCCTGAGGTTACACAGGTTGAGAACCACTGGTCTAGAGCATATTGAATGGGTGTCATACCAAATGGGTGAAAATGTTTAAAGCCTCTTTTATTTATTACATCACAAAGGAAAAACAGCCAATGTGTTTCAGGGGCTACAACACTCCCCCTTCATCAGGGCGTGAAACAATAATGTGGGGACTTTAAAAAATAAATTAAATCATAGAATGGAAACCAAAGTGATCTCTTATTTGGTATGGGTGGAATTCTCATCTTGGACTGTAATTTCATAATCTGATCAGGAACAGTTCCGAGACTTGTTGGTATTTTCCTGCAATAAAACATGTACATTTTACTGTAAGGAAAGTTCTATTCTTTTCTATGTCGCTGGTTCACATCTAGGTATGTGCTGCAGAGGAAACTATGTGGACACATTCATACCTTCACGTTGGTTACCCTGCACATAGCAACATGGGCAGATAGGTTTGACTTGGCCCTCAGGGTATATTAAAAAGACACGAAACTCAGGAGTTAAATATTAAAAATACATCCAAGTTACTGAACTCTGAACAACAATGTATCTCGTTTGTGTAAAACAGCAGAAAGGCATCATGGCACACTCACAAAACCAGCATGTAAAACAACTTGTGTCACCACTAAGGACAATGACAGAGGTTTGGATAAACGTCTTCAGCCGAGGATGTGTAAGCCGCACTGCCGCGCCAAGGCACCTCTTATAGTGCGGTCCTAACTCTAAACTATGAGAGTCTCCATCTTGGAGCACATGGGGGCAGAAGATATCAAATTGGGTGCAGGTTTGTCAGGAGGACGCCCAACCTCCTTAAAGGTACAGAAACACACAAGGGATCCCGCACATCCTATTGGCAGCTGAGAAACCCCATGCGTCGCTGCACCAAATCGGTCAAACAAACGCACTCAACAATTTGTTACCAGTTATACAGCAAGGTGCACACGAAATGGGCTTTGAATAGTAAAACAGCAGAAAGTGTATCACTCGGCTGTAGATCCTCCAAGAATCTCTGAATTGGTGCTGACACTGTCCTTCCTTCTGGAGGGGGCTACGTCTGTTCCCCATGGTCCCTCTGTGTGTTGTAAAGTAGTCACCGCTCCAAGCTCCCCCCCAGGGATGGACTACAATCCCAATACAAATTAGTAAACTAAACATGAGATTGTAGTCCGTCCCGGGAGTGAGCTTGGAGCGGTGACTACTTTACAACACACACAGGGACCATTGGGAACAGACGTAGCCCCCCTCCAGAAGGAAGGACAGTGTCAGAGATGATTGGAGGATCTACAGCCGAGTGATACACAAACAAGATACATTGTTGTTCAGAGTTAAGGTACTTGAATGTATTTTTAAGATTTAAAAGAGAACTATGGGGGCAAGTGTTTTCCCCATAGTTCTCTTTAGGGTCACGGAGGACATATACTAGCGTCCTCCCGTGACCCAAAGCTCAGTATATAGCGAGCTACAGGTCGCGGTATACTGAGACCGCCGCACCTGGGACAGATCCCGACATTACTGTTGAGATCCACCCAGCTGCGTGATTGACAGTGGGCTCTGCCTATTTAGAGCCCGCCCCCTCCCCCATCCGTTCCTTTAATCAGCGTTGGAGGATCAGAGCGGGGAGGGGGGAATCCCTGCAGGGAGCCATGACTGACAGTCACTGCTCTCTGCAGGGACATGATCGAGAAGTGAGCGAACGCCGGTATGTGTTCCCTCTCCTCCCGATCTATTGAGCCGACGTGTGACAGTCTCATTGTCACAGGTCGGATCGAACTATGAGGCTGAGTGATTTTCACTCCCCTCATAGTTCTCCTTTAACTCCTGAGTTTAGTGTCTTTAGAGGATCTACAGCCAAGTGATACACAGATAAGATACATTGTTGTTCATAGTTAAGGTACTTGAATGTGTTTTTAAGATTTAAAAGAGAACTATGGGGCAAGTGTTTTTTCCCCATAGTTCTCCTTAGGGTCACGGGAGGACATATACTAGCGTCCTCCCGTGACCCAAAGCTCAGTATATAGGGAGCTACAGGTCGCGGTATTGTTGAGATCTGCCCAGCTGCGTGATTGACAGCTGGCTCTGCCTATGTAGAGGAAGAGCCAGCTGTGCCCGCCCCCTCCCCTGTCCGTTCCTTTAATCAACGTTGGAGGATCAGAGCGGGGAGGGGGGAATCCCTGCAGGGAGCCATGACTGACAGTCACTGCTCTCTGCAGGGACATGATCGAGAAGTGAGCGAGCACCGGTATGTAGTCCCTCACTTTCCGATCTATTGAGCCGACGTGTGACAGTCTCATTGTCACAGGTCGGATCGAACTATGAGGCTGAGAGATTTTCACTCACCTCGTAGTTTTCCTTTAACTCCTGAGTTTAGTGTCTTTAGAGGATCTACAGCCCAATGATACACAAATAAGATACATTGTTGTTCACAGTTAAGGTTCTTGAATGTATTTGTATGGTTTAACTATTGGGTTTAGTGTCTTTTTAATATACCCCGAGGGCCCAGTCAAACCTATCTGCCCATGTTGCAATGTGTGGGGTAACATGTGTAACTATGAATGGGTAAGATTTTACCAAAAGGGATAAACAAAAAACAAAACAAAAAACCTGAAAGAGGTTTGGGCTTTAAATGAGAGGTGTATCCCTCCCCCACCCCCACTTATTTTTAATGACATGTAAACACCATCTGTTTTAATTAGGTATTGATACCCATTCAGTAAACTGCCCCTTTACCGTCTGCCCCTGACACTACGTCTACGTGCCATCACATCTTGCTTTATGTATAATCCTCATGCGCACCAGCCATCCTGCTGTCACTCGAAAAAATTTGCGCGCCGGCACCGCGCTCTCTTTGCGATAAGTATTTTTCCACAAAGTCGACACTTCTAGATAAAAAAGCCAGAGCAGGGAAAAGAGCAAACATCATTATGACTTCTTGTTCCTTTTTACCGTGGCTACAATCCAAGCGGGCGGGCGGGCCTCCTATTGACAGAATCGACCCGCTAAATTAATACATCTTAATGTGCTTTGCAGATTTCTATCGAGCTCTGTGTGTTTCTCCTCTCCCAGCGAACGGCAAGGCTTTTATCCTCTCCCTCCAGTTCCCTTTTGAGCGCGAGCATTTTCCAATCAGTGCGTCTCTTGTTTTGTGCGCCACGCTCCCCATTCCGCCTATTATTCATCCTCTATAGTCGGAATGCATAATTTGGTCCTTTGCCCCTCTGCAGCGAGCGCCGCTTGACAGATGCATTGCTATGTTAAAACACCATTGAAGGGTGGGGGGTGGGGCGACGACACATTTTAACAGCCGGTGACTTTTTATTTCATTCAGATCAAGAGAAAAAAAAAAATCTATTTCATATTAAATTACATTATTTCCTTTTGCTGTTAAACCCTCTTAAAACTGCATTCTCTCCGGCAGACAAGCACTATTAATATAGCCGTAATGGCACCTGAAAGACTTTAGTGGCGAGAAGGCGGCATTTGTGCTGCGTAATTGGCACTAGAAGAGGCATTTTGTCCTGCGACTCCCGCTGGTAATGCATCAAGTGACTTTCCAGCGATATTATCACACGGCTGTGTACACACACCTGGCTGCACGGGATGTGTGCCCGGGAGATGGGATCACTTTATCATTTAAGTCTCTTCACACGTCTGCGTACTTAAAGAGAACAACCGTTCTTCAGAAGATCATGGAGGCCGCTATTGAACACTTCCCGATCTGCAAATGCTGGATGAGGCTGATGAGGTTTTTTTGTGTCTTGATTGATCTGTGTGGAAGGTCGATAATGGCCGCCTCCATGTTACTTGCAGGGAAAGGTTTACTTTAAAGGGAAATATGTTTTACCTAGTTGCAA